ACAAGACCATGCTGCTAACAGGACCATGCTGCTAACAAGACCATGCTCCTGCAGATGTATTTGTTTTTCACTTTTGGTGCCTTGTTTTTGTATTTTTGTTGCATGCTTTGGTATTTCTTGTTGTTGTTTTGGCGAGTCGAGACAGTTCTCATCTTGAGCATTTCATTGTTGACCTTGTGTTGATTTGTTTATGACTAGAAACTAACAAACTAAAACCATGGGCCTAGTCTGAAACGTGTTTTCACTCTTGACTACAGGTACAGTGAATGGTGCAGCTGCAGCCACGTGATGAGTGAATATTCGGTTAATGCGGTTAGGCCAGTTGTGTGAAGGTCATAACTAAAAGATTTGATGAAAATGACGATAGGAGCTTCTTCAGAGAGATGTTTACCTCACGGTTATTAGGTGTTGGTTTGGCTCTGGTTGGAGCTAATTAGACGGTTTTGAACTTGAAAAACGTCTGTTTTGATCTCCAGTGGTGGTAGTTGGCATAAGCACACTCAGAATCTGAAGTGCACCTTCCTCCTCCTCCTGTTCATCCTCATCATTTCATCCTACCGTCTTTCCATCGGGAAAGACGTGTTACCGTCATTTTCAATTATTCAGGTTGTCTCCACGCTGACATCTGTCAGTTTACCCCTGTAGAAGTTTATAGCTTTTCCTCTTGGACAGAATATCTAAAGTGATGAACTCCATCACATTAAGGTCTTTTGATTTTAAATGATGCGCCGAGTCCTGCAGAGATGGTCAGGTTCTGCAGAAAACCTACACTGAAGCTTGCATAGCGGTTGTTTTGTGCATATTTTATATCAAGCCGTCCTGAAGCACAACGAGGATCTGAATACGTAATTGTGCCTCATTAGCAGCTTATTTGGAACAGCAGGGTCAGCACATCTGGTGGCTTTGAAGAAGTCAGATGTTATTTAGAATGTCAGAGTGTAAAGCCCGTGAATGAAAACCTGCACAGTTTACAGATAAGGGTGTAATTTGCTGAAAATTAATCAAGTCAAGAGTCTGCTTACTCAAACTGTTGTGAAAATTACCTAAATCTCATCGAAATGCTCCACGGAGCAGCAACAGATGTGCATGCCTCCACATTTAGTGAGCGCTAAAACAGAAAATATGTTTTTAGTCTCCACCAAATGTTTTCAGATTAGAGTTAAGACTTCAGTATGAAGTAAAAGACTAGTGCAGTAGTTTGTGTAAGGATTATGTTCATATTTTATAAAGGCAATTACAATAAAATGTTCATTTGTCAATCAATATTTTTAATATAAAGCTGATTAAGTCATGAATTGACTTCCTGTTGAATCCCACAGAATTAATTAATGAGAATATTTGTTGCCTGTTCTGGAGAAATGACCCAGAATGAGCTCAGGCTGCCGTACAACAAAAACCACGACGAGGCTGATTGTTGCCATAATTGAGATTTGCACTAAAACGAGTCTACAAAGACACACACAGATAATCTTCTTAATCTGCCTTTAAATGAAGTTAACAGGTATGTTTTCAAAAATAACCCCTTTAATTCTGACACTTGTTTCTTTTAAAGTTTACCCTTTTTTTCTGCTGTAGCACCTTCGTATAAAGTTTGGCGTCATTGTAAATCTTGGGGATTTCTCTTTTTAAATGTAGTGCTGGAATTACCAGACATCATTCCAGACCAGTAAATGGCGAGTTTTCAAACCAGCGCACTCTAAAACAAAATTAGCTTGTTGCTAAGTGATAAATCAGCAAGTTTCAATAAACTACAACTTCAAAACGAGTTGTAGTTTATTGAAAGCTTTTGAGACGGAAGATGTGAATATAATATCAACTACTGTATTTTCTGCAGTATAAGTCGGATCAGTCCAAAAATGTCTAATTAAGTGGAAAAAACATAAATAAGTCGCTTTTCTACATAACCTGGAAATGTGGGCCGGTGTTGTGCCAAAAATTGATTGGCTGCCAAAATGTTGACTGCGGGAGCGCGCACAGGAGGACGTTAACAAGAATTGAACAAGATGACCACCTAAAAGCAATTGTTTGTTTGCTCATCATTATAGCAAAAGTGCATCTCAGTCGAACTTTTCTTTAATAAACGCACTTTAATGGTCAAATCAGCTGCATTTCGCTGTGCCGCCCAGGAGAGATGCAGCTGATTTGACGTTTGCTCCAGGAGTTCCGGAGCGAGACGAAGGTGGCTTTTATGGCAAGTCATGTGTCTCATTAATAGCCACTTTTACCTATTAATGATACACTTGGCTTGCCATAATGCTTGAGCAGCTGCACGTGGTAATGTTTAATATTTTTCATGTCAGAATTAATGAAATCGTCAGATCTCAGCCAAAACTTGGGTTATAAATACGGAGGAAAAAACATATATTAGTCACTTCGCTGTGTAAGTATGTTTTAGTTTGGCCAAATGGAAAGTAAATTGAAACTGAATTAATTTGCTTTTAAACCGTATTTTGTTGTACTGATAATTCAGTTCGACTACTTTCATTTACAGTTCTATAATTCAGTTTTTTGAGTCACACATCCGGGTCCTTGAGAAATCCACGCAGTAATCCAACACAGATCGACAGATTTAGTTTCACGTCGGTGAAACTTGCGTTACAGAAACGTAGGCGTGGGGTTCAGACTCCAGGAGGCGGTGATGCAACAGAGTGGATTCAACCCTCAGTAAAACACCAAAGAAGAAAAAGAACTTCCTTCACGGCGTATTTAGAGCTGGAGCACACATGAGTTCATGCCAAGTTCATGTGCGTCACCGCTCCAGCTCTAAATACGCTATAAATTAATTTATCTTTCTTCTTCTTTGGTGTTTTACTGAGGATTGAATCCACTCTGTTGCATCACCGCCTCCTGGAGACTGAACCCCACGTCTACGTTTCTGTAACGGAAGTTTCACTGACGTGAAACTAAATCTGTCGATCTGCGTTCGATGACTCTGTGGCTTTCTCAAGGACCAGGATATGACACAAAAAACTGAATTTTAGAACTGAAAATGAAAGTAGTCGAACTGAATTAACAGTACAACCAAATTCAGTTTCAAATCGTTAAATTCAGTTTCAATTTAGTGACTTTAATTTTCAAACTAACAAATTTAATTTCAAATTACGCGAATACAGATTCAGTTTCCGACGGCACAAGTTTCTGCCCATACAATGTTTACTGTTTTCAGTTAATTAGAATTGTGTTGAAATCTATTTTTAAAGTTGATTTTTGGCAGAGTTGAGTTCAGGCCTTTGGCCCCAGGTGTGTTTTGGCCTCCAGAACTGAGGTGTTCTACTGTAACATCATGTCCTGCCTTTCAAAGAGCAATTTTATTTTATCAAACAGAAAATACTGTAAACACATGAACGCCACTAAAGCTTGGCCACAGTAAAACTAAGCACACGCTCCTTTAAGTTTCCGTTTCTTCCATTTCACCTGAATGTACAAAGTTAAAAACCTCTGACTAAACATGTTGGTAAATGAGGTGCAACCTCTGTGCTTCGGTGTTCGTCTGCTCTGCGAGGCTGCAGCGTTTCTAATCTGATTTCTGATGGAAGTGGTGGTGGTGAGTCACAGATGTGGGCCGAGCTTCCGGCTGCTCATCGACGTTGATCAGTGGCAGGAGAGGTTTAAAATCCCATCAGTGCCTGACAGAACAGGAAACACGTGTTTCCCTTCATATCATTTGGTTGCTAATTTCAGCAGAGACACCATTTTCTGTAACACCCCCCCCCAATAAATAAACTAAAACCACATGAATACAGATTTTCTTTTTGTAAAGTTTGGAAAATCCTGCTACAAAGTAAAACTGTGGAAAATTTCAGAATGTGATTGAAATAGAAGGAGTCAACCAAAACAAAGTGTTTAACTTGTTTATCAGCCAAACTAAATTCACTCAATGTGAGAAAGATCCATCAAACTATCTTCATCATCATCAACAACTTTATTTATAAAGCGCTTTAACACCAGCCACAGCTGAAACAAAGTGCTGAGCTTCAGTAATAAATAAGATAAAAGAAAGCATAACAATCAAGTGACAAAGCTAAACACACAATAATGAATTAAAAACTCAATTCAAACCAATAAAATGACGAGTTAACCAGATAAAATCGATTATCTATCTATTGGTATTATCTGTCTAATGAACTATTTTCAGTTTAGGTAGTTTATCACTAGAGGTTGACCGATGCGTGTTGATCTACAGCATCAACATGGACTTTCCATTTGGCCAAACTAAAACATAATCGTTTAACTTAAACGTATTTAAAAACACTTTGCTGGTTGTAGCAGCCGCTTCTGATCCCGTCACAGTTGAACTGTGAAAGATGCACACTGACTCAAGGGGCTCAAAAATAAAACTAAACTTTATTTTGAACAAAATAAAAACCTACGAGAAGCACAAACAGACCCAAGGAAAACCAGACGAGGCGTGAAACTCAACAGGCGAGTGAAATGAAGCTGAGGAACTGACAGGACTGGGGCTGATGGGAGAAGTGGCTGCAGCTGTGGGAGGCGTCGATGGGCGTGGCAGGCTGACTCAGGGCAAGTGACTGATGGCACAAAAGAACACACAAGAACAAAGCAAATGAAAACGCAACAAACGGAACCAAACACAAGCACGATGAACCACAGAAAACAAAACTCAACAAACCTAATAATAAAACATGAAAGACCATTAACAAAAGACTGTGTTTCCCCTAGATCAGTTCTCTTGGGGGGGCGCTCGTCGTATTTTGTTTTTGTCAATGGGGGGCGTCACATCTGTGTTGTCTGCCTGCTAGCTCTGTGCTATGTTGCTGCCGGTTTTTATCGATGGGCGGGGGGGGCGAGCGGAGCAGTACATGTGTATTGTGCCCTGCACTACATCGATACCGACAGTTGTCTGGGGGGGTTGTCAGTGGGCAGGGCGCTCGGTTCTGTTGACGAGGCGGGCTGCCCCGCTTGTGTAATGGAAGGGGAAACACTGAAAGACTCCGATCCTTCTTGGTAATTGGTTCACTTTGCACAAACATGGCTGATTATTTAAAAAGTGGCAAATATCGGCTGATTATATCAAATATTGACTGATTAAAACAAATAATGGCTGATTAAATCAAATATTGGCTGATTAAAACAAAATAACAGCTGATTAAATCAAATATTGGCTGATTAAATCAAACAACAACTGATTAAATCAGATATCGGCTGATTAAATCAAACAACGGCTGATTAAATCAGATATCGGCTGATTAAATCAAACAATGGCTGATTAAATCAGATATCGGCTGATTAAATCAAATATAGGCTGATTAAATCAAATATTGACTGATTAAAACAAATAATGGCTGACTAAATCAAATACTGGCTGATTAAAACAAAATAACAGCTGATTAAATCAAATATTGGCTGATTAAATCAAACAACAACTAATTAAATCAGATATTGGCTGATTAAATCAAACAACAACTGATTAAATCAGATATCGGCTGATTAAATCAAACAACGGCTGATTAAATCAGATATCGGCTGATTAAGTCAAATATGGGCTGATTAAATCAAATATTGGTGGATTAAATCAAATATCAGCTGATTAAATCAAATATCGGCTGATTAAAACAAATAGAGGCTGATTAAATCAAATATCGGCTGATTAAATCAAATATCAGCTGATTAAATCAAATATCGGCTGATTAAAACAAATAGAGGCTGATTAAATCAAATATCAGCTGATTAAATCAAACAACGGCTGATTAAATCAAATATCAGCTGATTAAAACAAATAGCGGCTGATTAAATCAAATATCGGCTGATTAAATCAAATATTGGCTGATAATGGCTGATTAAATCAAATAACATCTGACTAAATTAAATATTGGCTGATTAAATCAGATATTGGCTGATTAAATCAAATATTGGCTGGTAATGGCTGATTAAATCAAATAACATCTGATTAAATCAAATATCGGCTGATAATGTCTGATTAAATCAAATATTGGCTGATTAAATCAAATATTGGCTGATTAAATCAAATATTGGCTGATAATGGCTGATTAAATCAAATATTGGTTGATTAAATCTAATATTTGCTGATTAAATCAGATATTGGCTGATTAAATCAAATATTGGCTGATAATGGCTGATTAAATCAAATATTGGCTGATAATGGCTGATTAAATCAAATATTGGCTGATTAAATACAATGTTGGCTGATTAAATCAAATATCGGCTGATTAAATCAAATATCGGCTGATTAAATACAATGTTGGCTGATTAAATCAGATATTGGCTGATTAAATCAGATATTGGCTGATTAAATCAGATATTGGCTGATTAAATCAGATATTGGCTGATTAAATCAGATATTGGCTGATTAAATCAAATATTGGCTGATTAAATCAAATATCGGCTGATTAAATCAAATAACATCTGATTAAATCAGATATCGGCTGATTAAATCCGTCGTCTTCTACTGGACAAGAATCCATATTTAGTTTCAGAATATATTATATGTTTAATTTAGTACGAGAGCTGCCCATTGTATCAATAATTCATGGTTACTGGAGTTTATCATTATTTATATAATATCACTGTGTGCATGTTTTAATCATGTTTTATCTTTACTGTGCTAATCTGTCGACTACTTTCACACCAGCATCGTCTTTTAGATCCAGTTGTCGTCTGTTCTGTTCCGCTGTCTGAAAGTGTGATGTTTTTACTTCCTGGCTGAGATGACCGCGTCTTCATCGGTTTGGACGTTTGATCGTCTTTGCATTAAAGCCGATGGTCGTCCGTGTCAAACGCGCGTCCTCTCACCTGTCAGATGCATCATTTAATGCCATCAACAGGCGCTGCGCTGTAATCCACTCAGATTAACGTCCAGCTCTGCTTTGCCTGTTCACAGATCGTCAGCGTTGGGAAACACGTGAAAGGATATCATTACATCATGGCGAACCTGGTGAGAGAAACGACTTTTCTTTGTTTTTCCTCTTTTTTAAACCTAAAGCACTTTTCACCTCCTGCCTGTAACTTCGTGCACTTGTTGGAACAGTTTGTGGATCTGAATTAAAAACTGTCACCTGAATATAATGTTTCAAACAATAATGTTAAAATGAAAACCAGTGTAGACAATAAAAAGCTAAATTAATGCTTAGAATAAGAAATCTTGACAAAATCTGCAATTTGCAACTATCTTTTCTCCAATCAATGTGCCCTGAAGAACCTATTTAAACATTTTAAAGGTAATTTGAGCTGATACTTAGTTTTTTTTTGTTTGTTTTTTAACCCATAATTTCTGGTGTCTTTAATGTCTTAAATAGTATTTTCAGTTTTTTGTATCTTTGCTTGTAATATATATTTTTTTGCATTTCAAGATGCATGACTTGGTTTTTAGTTGCTTGGAAGATTTAAATCAGTGTGAATGTTCTTTGTTCATCTACCTCCACTTTGCTTGTCTTAAAATTGAATTTCAAGCATAACTAGAGAAACTGCATTTCCTGCAAAAATGCAGTGTGAATGCTTATTGCAGAAAAAACTTGCTGAAAAATAGCTGAAATTATCTAAAAACATGCTGAAGTGTAGCTGAAATTAAGAACAAGCCGAATGTAGCAGAAGAAAGCAGAAAGAACACACATTTGCCTAAATAGGTTTAAATATGCAGAAATTAGCACAGAAATTAGGAAATTAGATTTTAAAAAAGTTGAAATTCTCAAAAATAGCTGAATAGTAGCTAAAAATGCAGAAAGAAGCCTAAACTACCAGAAGGAAGTGGAAAGAGCTGAAATGAGCTAAAAAATGTGGAATTAGCTGAAAATGCTAAAATTAGCATAAAACAGCAAAATAGTACCTGAAACTAGCAGACAAAATCTGAAAGTAGCATAACAAGCTGAAATTAGCATAAAGAAATGAATTAGGCAGAAAATAGCTGAAATTACCATGAAAAACTTGAATTTATGTGAAAACAACTAAAATTAGCTAAAAAGGTAGCTGAAAAGGTAGAACAAGCTTAAATTAGCATAAGAAAGCAGAAAGAACACGTTTGCCCATTTAGGCTGAAAGAAGCAGAAATGAGCACAAAAAATGGAAATTATCTGAAAAAAAGCTGAAATGAGCAAAAACAGTTGAGATAGCTAAAAAAAAAAAGGCAGAAAGAAGCTTAAATTACCAGACGGAACTGGAGAGTGCACATTTTTGCTGAATTAGGCCGAAAAAAGTTGAAATGACTGCAAAAAATGAGGAAATAGCTGAAAAGCTAAAATTAGCATAAAACAGCTAAATAATAGCTGAAACTAGCAGAAATGAGCTGAAAGGAGCATAGCAAGCTGGAATTTGGAGAAAGAAGTTAGATGAGGCAAAAAAAAAAGTTGTAGTTAGCAGAAAGATCCTGAACGGAGCACAAAACAGCTGAAAAAACAGCTGAAAGTAGCTGAACTTAGCTGAAAAAGTTTAAATTTGCATAAGGACGCTGAAAGAAGATGAACCAGAACAAAATGTGAAAGCAGCAGTAAAAGGTTGTAAACAGATCTAAAGATATGAAGGATGTAAAATTAGCTCAATTTATTTTCTATGATAAATAAAAATGTTAGAAAAGGCTAAATATTTCAAAAAGCTAAAGCTGCACCAAAAGTCACAACAGGATTGTCCTGAAAGAGCTGAACGTTTTGATATATGATTTGTTGAAATAGCTTTAAAACTGCGGGACGAGAAAATGGATCACAACAGTGTGGATGCTTCATAAACTTTCACACAACGAATATTTAAAAAAATTGTGACCAAAAGGGTGTTCCAATTAGAAACATGAAACAAATACCAAACACAACTGTCTCTGGCTTCTTTATCCTTCCTGTCTGAGTTCACCCATCACCTTTTTTTCCTCGTCCTTCAAGGGTTTTAAGGACATCAACCTGGAGCGGTTCATGCACGGTGGCGCCAACGTGACCGGCTTCCAACTGGTCGACTTCAGCAACCCCATGGTCATCAAGCTGATGCAGCGCTGGAATAAACTGGATCAGAGGGAATACCCAGGCTCAGACGCCCCACCCAAGGTACGGCGAGTCCAAACCAGACCAAATCTGACCAGTGGTGCGGCGCAGCGTTCATCTTTTTACGGTTCTGTGATGAGTTTAAAAGCTGAAATCCAGCTTGTGGTGAAACCGGAGGCGAGCCGAGCGACTGCAAAACTGATCCTGTTTGACTTGAAATTAGGAAAAGCTCTTTGCTCCGAGGCCAAGCTGCTGATCTGTTGTGGGGTTTTCACTCACCTTCAAACTCTTGGGCTTATATTTTAGCCTGAAGTCAAAGTAACAGAAAACAATCGGCAGCTGGAGGATCAGAAATGTCTCCAAAACAAAAGGATTTAAAGAGCGTGCAGAAATTTTTAGCTGATGATAAACATTTACAAGCAAACTTATTTTGCTCCAAATTGTAAAAATTAAGTGTTAGAGTTTAGAAAAGGAAATGCTGTCACCAGATTTTTAATTCAGTTTATTTATATAGCGCCAAATCACAACAAAGTTGTCTCAGGGCACTTTACAGGAACATTCACATACATAAAAGCCAACTATAATAGTAATAATAATTATTATAGATAATATGAACATTTTGGATGTTTGCCAACATAAATGATGTCTGAAGTTCAAGAAAAATACATTTGGCTGATCCAAAAATATCGTTTCACATTTTAAAGAAACGTCTTGTACATGGATGCCTGTACTTAAGACTTAATTGACAATTATAGAGCTATCGAAAGTTATAGCGTCCATTTGAATCGTCTCAAAAAAGTGCATCCACTTTATTTTAACAGTTCCCATCATTAAAACTAATTGACCAACAGAGTAGTTTTATTTGCTGTACACTGAAAACAAATGGATTTGACCATAAAAGATGAATATCTTACAAGTGATTAACATTTCAGCTTTTGTTTTTAAGTATTTACGTCATAATTCTTGAAAAAGCGTTAAGTTTATAACAAGTGATGTAGAAACGGCCTGTTTTGAAATTGGTAAAATTATTTATTCATGTGGCTTTTGGGGTTTTTGCTACTAATCCAAAAGTCTGAAGAAAAATATGTTTTTTATTCTGCTAAAGTAAAAATTAATGCAGAAATGCACCCAGAAACAAACAAGAACTGGATTTGATGTTGGCAGACTGGATGCAGTTAATCTTAGCCAGGATTTTGATAGTAAATATTGGGTTTTATTTACCTTTTTCCTAAATTTACCTGTTTCTAAATTTTTGCATTGAAAACAAATAAAATCTGAAATGCTGTTTTTTTTGTTTGTTTCATTATTATCTTTTTGTAATTATAAGAGAGAATATTTTTACTTTTTAGAGGGAACTATATTGTCATGACTTTACTTACACATCCATCCATCCATCCATCCACCCACCCACCCATCCATCCACCCATCCATACATCCACCCATCCATCCATCCATACATCCATCCACCCACCCATCCATCCACCCATCCATACATCCATCCATCTTCCACTTGTTCAGGAGTCAGACATCTCTTTCCACAGTCACTTCTTCCAACTCTTGTGGGAGGACTCCAAGGCGTTCCCAGGCCACCCGAGAGACATAGTCTCTCCAGCGTGTCCTGGGTCTTCCCTGGGGTCTCCTCCCAGTCGGATATGCCCGAAGCACCTCCCTAGGGAGGGGCCCAGGGAGCATCCTTACTAAATGCCTGAACCACCTCAACTGGCTCCTCTCGATGTGGAGGAGCAGCGGTTCTACTCAGTCTCTCCTGGATAACTGAACTTTTCACCCTATTTTTAAGGGAGGGTCCAGGTACCCTGCAGAGGAAACTCATTTCAACCACCTGTATCCACGATCTCATTCTTTCGGTCACTTCCCAGAGCTCATGACCATAGGTGAGGGTAGGAACGTAGAACTACCGGTAAACAGAGAGCTTTACCTTACAGCTCAACTCCCTCTTCACCACAACGGACCGGCACAGAGTCCACAATACTGCAGGCGCTGCACCAATCCATCTGTCAATCTCACGCTCCATTCTTCCCTCACTCGTGAACAAAACCCCAAGATACTTGAACTCCTCTACTTGAGGCAGAACCTCACCCTCAAAATGAAGAGAGCAGTCCACCCTTTCCCGACTGAGGACCACGGCCTCAGATTTGGAGGTGCTGATTTTCATCCCAGCTGCTTCTCACTCGGCTGCAAACCACTCCAGTGAGAGCTGAAGATCATGGCACAATGACGCCAACGGGACCACATCATCTGCAAAGAGCAGAGATGGAATCCTGAGGCCACCAAACCGGAATCCCTCCGCCCCCTGGCTGCACCGAGAAATTCTGTCCATAAAATTTATAAACAGAATCGGTGATGACGGGCAGCCCTGGCAGAGTCCAACTCCAACCCTGAAGGGGTCCGACTTACTACCGGCAATGCAAACCAAGCTCTTGCACTGCTTGTATAGGGACCGACCAGCCTGTAACAGCAGGCCTCCAATCCCATACTCACGGAGCACCCCCCCACAGTGTACCTTACTTACACAGAGTTCAAATAAAACAGTAGGATCAGACTTTGGGAATCGCAAGGAGACTCTGGGAGACACAAGGAAACCGGACAGGTTGTAGGAGCACATGCTGCTCAACAGAAGGAGTTGAACCCGAAGGACTAAAAAAGATTGAGGCCGATGAGAGGAGTGGCTGCAGCTGTGACTGGTTGAGATGGACGCACGAGGACTGAACAAACGAGAACACAAATAACACAAGAATGACTAAACACGGAAAATACAACATAACAAATAAAGGACTAAACCTAATAATAAACTGAAAGCATTACCTAAAACAAGGAAAAGACACAGATCCCGACATCTACAGAAAAAAAGAAAAAGGTCATGAGGAATGAGATTCAGGAGCCTGAAGGGATAAGGAAAAGGCATCAGCGTCAACGTCTGTCTCATCCGCTGCCGTTGTACGCAGCGATGTGGCAGACTGACCCACTTTACGTTCTGTCAGCCGCACAGAGCGTAAATGGCACTGGGGCAAGAAGGCATCACGCCACGGTGGGTTGCAAACCTCCCTCGAGCAAATCCGTGTCCAGCAAAGATTTCTTTTTTGAAAAGCAGCGAGTCCGACAGATTGCATGTATGTGTCTGATGGATTGGAGTGCTTCAAATTAAAAGTTTACATCACGGACTGATACCATATGACTGTGTGTGAGTGTGTAACGGTGTGTGTGTTTACCCTCCCTACATGTCTTGATAAATTGCTTTCTCTCCTGGAAATCCACTCAGCCTAAATTACTCTGCTCCCCACTAAGTCCTCCACAGTCAACCTGACTCGCTGTTAATATATTAGCACTACGGTGAGTTAGGCCTTCCTCTGGCGTGTGTACTCACTTTGGACAGGGATGTTTAATGTTTAAAAGTTCCACTTATCGGCAGATAGTGAGTCAACGAGACGCTTCTCTGCGACAGCGCCATGACGAGGATTATCTCAAGATATTAGAGTTCATTTACACGACTCATTCTCGATTTTAGTCTTTTTTTTATATAATAAAAAGTATTAAATTATGAGAACATCTTAAAATGTAACTACTTGGTTCATTTTGGCCGAAGACCATGAGAGATCAAAGTGTGTTGTGATTAAATTAGCAATACACCAAACAATCAGCTGGTCACTGGAATTTAAGGATTTTTGGTTTAACTGACAACTGATTAGAAACTTAAACTCCAGGTTTTTTTTTTTATTTAGTTCATGAAAACCCCATTGCCCAAACTACTTCTTCCTTTTCTTTCGGCTTTTCCTTCTTCAGGGGTCGCCACAGTGAGTCCTCCTCCATCTCACCATCTGCATCCTCTGTCCTCACTCCAACTACCTCCATGTCCTCACTAACTGCATCCATACATCTCTTTGTCTTTTTCCTGGCAGCTGCATTTCTAACGTCCTTCTACCAATATACCCACTGTCCGTCCTCTGGACATGTCCAAACCATCTCAGTCTGGTCTCTCTAACTTTATCTCCCAGTCCTTCAGCCTGTGCTGCACCTCTGATGATCTCATTCCTAATCTTATCCGTCCTTGTCACCCCTAAGGAGAACCTCAACATCTTCATTTCTGCCACTTCCAGTTCTTTCTCCTGTCTTTTTGTCCATGCCACTGTCTCCACACCATACAACATAGCTAGTCTCTACTCGTTTGTAAAACTTTCCCTTGACATTTTCCATGGTGTAACTCCACAAATGTTCAGGACAGAAAATGTCCTCAGACTGTGGCTCCATGTTGGATTTTATTTTTATTAAAATTACTTCCACCAAAGAAACCTCCAGTGGTTCTGGTGGTGTTCACTCTATCATAAAATAGTTTGGATCAGCTGGTAGTCATCAACAGGTACGTCCTTCTCGTTGATAGCTGCAGTTTCATGTTCTTGCATGTTCTTTAATTGGACTGTTTGTACCGTATTTTTCAAACTATAAGGCACACTTAAAAGCTTGTATTTTTTTTTCAAAAATCAACAGTGAGCCTTATGTATTAATTCTGGTTGTGCTTACTGACCTCAAACCAATTTTATGTGGTACACGGTGCTCAAAAATATGTCAGAATGTTTTAGTTTTGCTTAATGCGCCGTATAATCCAAAAAATACGGTAGATTTACTCTGTGGGCATCATTATCAGCCACGCTGACCTTTCACTCTAACACAATCGTGTCTATACTTAATAAACATGTGGATTCAGGATTGTTGTGTGAGGAATTTTTATTTTCAATTTTAATTACTCTTGACAATTTACTGACTGACCTATTATCGCAGGTAGACTTATTACTTAAAGCTGGAAGCCTTGTTTGCAACTAATAAGAGAGGCAAAGATACGAGGGAGCTAAAATAATATTTCGGGTCCTGTCAGTGATTCTAACCCCTATCTTGATTGTGCATGTGAAGGAAATATTTTTATTTATTGATTTGCTTCCTGGTACATTGCAATATTTATGTATTGCATAAAATTATGTTCCTGTACACTTCATAATTCCTTATTTGACTTTGTGTCATTGTGAAAATAAACATTATGCCAATTGTGATAATGGTCGTTCTGTGTGTAGGTTTTAGAAATCTACATAGGTTGGAGAAATCTATGTACATTGGATAAATCTATGTAGGTTGGATAAATCTATGTAGGTTGGATAAATCTATCTAGGTTGGATAAATCTATGTAGGTTGGATAAATCTGTGTAAGTTGGATAAATCTGTGTAAATTGGAGAAATCTATCTAGGTTTGAGAAATCTATGTAGGTTGGATAAATCTATGTAGGGTGGATTAATCTATGTAGGTTGGATAAATCGGTGTAAGTTGGATAAATCAGTGTAAGTTGGATAAATCGGTGTAAGTTGGATAAATCAGTGTAAGTTGGATAAATCTATGTAGGTTGGAGAAATCAATGTAGGTTGGAGAAATCGGTGTAAGTTGGATAAATCTGTGTAAGTTGGAGAAATCTATCTAGGTTGGAGAAATCTATGTAGGTTGAATAAATCTATGTAGGGTGGATAAATCTATGTAGGTTGGATAAATCTGTGTAAGTTGGAGAAATCTATCTAGGTTTGAGAAATCTGTGTAGGGTGGATAAATCTGTGTAAATTGGATAAATCTGTGTAAATTGGAGAAATATATCTAGGTTGGATAAATCTATGTAGGTTGGATAAATCTATGTAGGGTGGATAAATCTATGTAGGGTGAATAAATCTATGTAGGTTGGATAAATCTATGTAGGTTGGATAAATCTG